GGCTGGGGCAATGTGTTTGAGGCCTGAGTCCCTACCTGCTGTGGCCACAGCAGAATCAGTAAAAAGCTAACACTTGAGGTTGTATTCTTTCTGCACCCTGTCTAGCCCTCCCCCCCTCCCCAACTCCGTGTACACAGAACCTGACAGAGCACTGTGGCCAGACTCCAGGTCTCCTGAGTCCCATCCAGGGCTCTCTGCTCTCCACCCCAGACCCCCGAGAGGCCTCAGAAGGGCTTATGAGATCAGCTGGGGTTGGACCTGCAGCTAGCCAGCTCACCCGAGTGAGCCCTTGCCCCCTCAAGGCCTTCTTCCTGATCTGTAAGATGAAGTTACTGTATCGACTTTACAGGACTGGTGTCTGGCATGTTGATAACACATAAAGCAGGACCTCTGCACTTTGAGGGAGGGGGATGAGAAAGGAAGAGGCCCCTTTGGAAGGGAACTGATTCCTAGGTGGGGAGCATCTCCTTCTTGCTGGCCCAGCTCCAAGAGTAAGATACAGGAACAGCTCTCCCACAGACCCACATCAAAGAAGGAGGCCCAGACACCAGAGGGCTGGAACTTCCTCCAGGGAGCCCCTAACCCCAGTGGGCCACCTGCCGTTCCAAAACCACCCTCACCCACGTAGGTACCTGTTTTCAGCAACATTGCTCAGGACTCAAGAGTCTCAGGACCCGACCAGATCTGCTCTCCTTTCAACAGCTTTATACGTTGGATTCTGGAAGCTAAGAAACGTTAGGTAAGCACTGGAGTCCACTACTGCCTCGCTAGCTCTGCCGCCCTCAACCTTGAGCGTGGATCCCACACCCGGTCCCCAAGCCTCCCTCATTGCTCACCACCCCCGGTCCCCAGCCATCACTTCCCCGAGCCTGGGTTCTTCCTTCAGAAATACTAATCAAGGTGTCTTAGACGTCAGACCCCACCCCCTCTGTAGTGCTGGGAACCCCAGCCCCCACCGGCGGCTCTCCGCCCAGCCGTGGCCCGAAAAAGGCAGCGACCGCCTCTGGGACGCCCAGGAAGAACGGAGGCGTCGGGCTGGGACCGGGCTTCGGACTCCCACCGGGTCTGGGTTGCCCTTCCGGTCCCCAAGGACAGCAGCCCAGCAGTCCTAGCGCGGGGACCCTCCCTCAGAGTGCCCCACTCGCGGAACTCACCGTGAGGCCGCGTCCAGAACCGCCACTGGCTTCTGCCTCTGGAACCCCGCTGCTGCTATAACCTGATTTGCCTGCGGCGTTCCACGGGGGCGGAGCCTGGCGGCGGCAAGCCTTCCCGGCGGAGCCTATCAGAGTCCCGCTACCAGTGTCATGTCCCGCCCCTTGTGGGCCCAATAAGCCGTCCCCCGAACCTCCCAGAGCCCCGCCCCCTCGGATTCCGTCTCTGCGCCCACTTCAGGCTGGCACCACCGGCGGAGCTGGTCTGTGGACTGGGTGACCCGGCTACCGTGGCTCCCCGGGAGGGTAGTCCTTTCACCTCTGCGGGGTCCGTGAAGGCGGGCGTGGTAGACGCAATGTCGACGCTTAATAAATAGTATGGCGTAAATATCTGGTCTTTTAAAAGGAAGTGAGAAAACGCCATGATGCATGGCCCAAAGTAAGCCACTCAAAGACGGTAGTCACGAATAGGCGCAGGGCACTGTGTCTGCACAGCCAGGAGGCTCTCCTCTGCTACCTGACACTGCCAGCCACCCGCTGTACCGGCCCAGGCACTCTACATATTCCTTCCCTCCTTCATTCATCAAGTATGTTTTTTTTTTTTTTTAATGTTTATTTACTTATTTTGAGAGAGAAAGAAAGAGACAAAGGGCACGTGAGCAGAGAGGGACAGACAGAGGGAGAGAGAATCCCAAGCAGGCGCTGAGAGCATGGAGCCTGACTCAGGGATCCATCCCACCAACTGTGAGATCATGAGCTGAGCTGAAATCAAGAGTTAGATGCTTAACTGCCTGAGCCCCCGGGGAACCGCTGGAGTACTCCTTTACAACATGGCTCAGGTCACTCCTTGCTCAAGCCCCTGTGACAGCTGTTCATCTCAGTCTGGATACTCACAGATTTACAAAGCCCAACCCCACACATTCTGACGGCATCTCCTGCGGCTGTCGCCCTCCTTCGCGCCTCTGCCCCACTGTCCATCATGCACTTCCCCAAACACAACAGGTCTCAGGGCCTCTGCACTACCTGTTCCCTCTGCCTGGACTGATCTTCCTCCAGATTTCGGCATGACTGGCACCCTTACTTCCTACCAGTATTTCCCGAATGCCACCTGCTCACTGAGGCCTACCCTGACCCATCCTATGTGAAACTGCAACCTCCCTGCCCTAGCAATTCCCAAGCTCCATGTGGCCCCCTGTATTTTCCATGCTGCTTATTACTTTCGAACACATTTGTTATGGTTTCTGTTATTAACTGAATAAAAGTTAGTGGGAGAGACAGATAATAAACAGGAAATATTTGAGCATAGGGAAGCTTCCGTAGTGGCTAGTGCTGTAATGAAAATACACCCCAGGGATGCGATAGACTTGAAATTAGGCTACTTGACATCACATGGTCAGGGAGGGGACATTTAACTTGAGACCTAATTGGTGTGAAGGAGCCCTGAGAAGTTAGAGCCGAAGGGTAGGGGTAAGAAGGAAGAACATTCTAGGCTGCAGGAACTGCAAAGGCTAGAGCTCTGAGCTGGGAACCACCAAGTTCATGGGCAGATATTCCGACCTCCTTAGCTTCCAGGGCCTTCGGGCCCCCCGCCAGCCTCCTGCATTTGGTTGTGCACTCAGGGAACCTTCACCACAAGCCTACCCTTGGACCAACTCCAGGCAGACCCCTGGGGGCCGCGAGTGGGTTGCAGGCCAGTGGGCGTGGGGGAGGCAGAAATCGATAATCCCCAGGAACAGAAATGCGGGCACTTCGGGAGCCGGGTGGGGTTGCCAGGAAGCTCGGCGGGGCCTAGCAGACTGGATAGGAGCCCGCCCAGAGGAGGCGCCGGGCCCAGGCCGTCAGGCTTGGCTCAGTGGGAAAAGTGGGCCGGGCGGGGAGAGGGGCTGGAGAGGGGAAGAGAAGTACTCCCGAGTTCTCCCGGCGGTGGGCTAGGTCCGAGGCCCGGGGACCGCCTGCGGAGGGGCCCTGGGTTCGAGGTCGCCCGCCGCTGAGCAGCTCCCTGGTTCTGGCAAGTCCGGGTCTCTCCGGCCTCAGTTTCCCTCCCGCGTGGATCCAGCGGCGGCTTCGCGGACCGCCGGGTGAGCTACGGGAGGGGAGGGAGGAGGGTGGTAACTCGAGCCGCCCGGAAGGGGTCTCCTGGCGCCCGCGGCCACGTTCCGGCCCGGGCGGAGGCGCGGGGTCCGGAGCCGGGATCGCCCCAGGCCGCTGGGGCAGCCCACCGCGCGGACAGCTCTCCCGGACTTGGGCGGAGGTGAGCGCGGGCCGGGCCGGCTCCGGAGGAGGCGGCCCCCGGGAGGGCGTGGCCAGTGGGGACGTGGCGGGGCCGCCCCACTGCGCGGACCAGGAGACTGAGGCGGCAGCGCGCCCCGAGGTTCCCGGCGAGGCGACCGCCGTTTTAGGGCGGTGGCGGCTCGGGGGTCCACCCAGTAGCCCCAGGCCGGTGGGTCCAGGGCCCCAGTCCGCTCAGCTCCTCTAACAAAAAGACCGGAGAGACCCAGTGCGCTGACCCCCCGCCGGCTCCGCGGTCCGGGGCTCGCCCCCCTCCCCCCAGGAGGGGTGGGGGCCACAGCCCTCCCCAGGCTCGCGGGGGGCGCGGGGGCACTGCTCCTCCTGCTCTGGAGGCCGTCTCTGCGCCCCGGTGCCGGGCGGACCTCAGTGAGCTCCCCCTCCTCCTGCGACCACCCACCCCCATGAGCTCCCCTTCTTTCTCTCCATAAGCCTGATCGTTAATTTTTACATTCGTTTATTATTTATTTTCGTCTGTTTACACTGTGTCTCCCCGCTGGAATGTAGGCTCCAGGAGGGAGGGGCTGCTTTGTCCGTTAGTGTTTTCTCACTTTATTTGCATACTTTCTTGCTGAGGGGATGAATATTGGAAGTTACACGGGCAGCCACGGGAGTCCTGCCCTCGACATTCTGGGCTGGGCTTAATGCTGTAAACACAGAGATCATTGTGGGGTGAAGGAAATGCAAACAGAGGTGAGGGGGCTGCTGGCTGGGTCACCTTAGATCAGGTCACCTTGGGGATCAGGACCACTTTAAAGATTTTATTTGTTTAGGGGCGCCTGGGTGGCTTAGTCGGTTAAGCGTCCGACTTTCGCTTAGGTCATGATCTCGCGGTTCGTGCGGTTCGTGGGTTCGAGCCCCGCGTCGGGCTCTGTGCTGACTGCCAGCTCAGAGCCTGGAGCCTATTTCGGTCTGTGACTCCCTCTCTCTCTGACCCTCCCCTGCTCACGCTGTCTCTCTCTCTCTCTCTCCTAGAAATAAATAAAACATTAAAAAAAAAAGATTTTATTTGTTTAATGTTTTATTTATTTCTAGGGGAGAGAGAGAGACAGAGATAGAGACAGCGTGAGCAGGGGAGGGTCAGAGAGAGAGGGAGTCACAGACCGAAACAGGCTCCAGGCTCTGAGCTGGCAGTCAGCACAGAGCCCGACACGGGGCCCGAACCCACGAACCGCGAGATCATGACCTAAGCGAAAGTCGGACGCTTAACCGACTAAGCCACCCAGGCGCCTCGGATCAGGACCACTTTAGATACAGCCATCAGGACAGGCCTCTCAGATTAGATGACTTAAAGCCAACGTATGACATGTGCCCGGAGGGAAAAGCAGGAAGCTGAGGACATTCAACCCTGACCCAGCGTTAGGGAGTAGAGCACTGAGCTCTGAGAAGTGATGGTCAATTGCTCCTTGTTACAGACTGGCCTGGGTGAGTGGGTGGGTCTAGCAATTATCAGGGATCAGGGTAGGCTTCCTGGAAGAGGTGGTGGTTTTACTGGGCCCCTAAGACTAAGGAGGAGTTCTCATCCTTTAGGATGGGGTGACTGGGTTTGCCATTGTTTCGCAAGTACCCTAGGATCTACAGAGTCAGAGGGCTGACCTGTGGGGCCCGACAAGCCAGGCTCCTGCCTCCTTGCTGTGAGCTCTGCTGGTAAGTGAGTCACTGCCAAGATGTGCCCTAGAAAGTGTGAGGGAATCAGGAGATCGAGTTCTGCTTCTCACTGGTCACACATGGGGCAGTTCATCCTCACTGCTCTGGGCCTCAGTCTTTCATGAGTCCGGAAGACAGTTGGACTATGATCCATGGGACAGCGACATTCAGTGGCTGAGGCTGGTCCTACCCAACCACGCCTTGTGTTTGTACCACACTCTTGTTTACTGAGCAGGCCCCCATCTAAGCCCCTACGGATGGAGGAATGGGGCGGGCCTGCCTCACCCTGCCCTCATCTGGCCTCAAAGGCTGCAGATTCTTACTAAAGGGTAATTGTGCCATCACGATTGAGAGGCCGCAGGGGCGCCTGGGTGGCTCAGTCTGTTAGGCGTCAGACTTCGGCTCAGGTCATGATCTCATGGTGCGTGGGTTTGAGCCCCGCGTTGGGCTCTGTGCGGACAGCCAGCCTGGAGCCTGCTTCAGATCCTGTGTCTCCCTCCCTCTCTGACCTTCCCCTGCTCACGCTGTCTCTCTCTCTCTCTCTGAAATAAATAAAATATTTAAAAAAAAAGAAAAGAAACGAATGAGAAGCCACAGGGGCCCAGGAGGGTCACAGAAACCCTGGAGGTTTGGCCTCAGGGTTGGAGCTAAGGGGCCCCAGGATTAGGGGATGGTTTAAGCATAATGATTTCTATGGGTTCTACGGGTCCCGGGTCCATTTCAGCTCAGCTGATACCTTTTTCTTTGGATTTTAAAAAGCTGTGTCAACGCCCTCAATACCTCCTGGTCTGGTACACGTCATCCTTTTCTCTGAGCCCTCTGATGTCCAGTTTTTTGCATGACCCTCACAACAACCCTTTGAGAGAAAAGTCTGGTGAGAGTAGCCCATTTCACAGCTGAAGACACTGAGAGCCTCAGAGAACACAGCAAGTGAGTAGAGGCCACAGGGCTGGGGCCCAGGTCTCTTCTAGAACCAGCATTCTTTTCCCCACAGGGGCACAAAGGCTGCCTCCCTCTCTGACCTGCGGCCACCTGTCTCCTGTCACAGATCTTTTTAAAAAAATTTTTTAAATGTTATTTTATTTTATTTTTGAGAGAGACAGAGTGCGAGCAGGGGAGGGGCAGAGAGCAAGGGAGACACAGACTCTGAAGCAGGCTCCAGGCTTTGAGCTGTCAGCACAGAGCCCGACGCGGGGCTCAAACCTACGGACTGCGAGATCATGACCTGAGCCGAAGTCAGACACTTAACCGACTGAGCCACCCAGGTGCCCCCTCCCCGCGTTTGTTTGTTTTTAAGTTTTTTTAAAATGTTTTCCCCTCACAGTTCTTATGGGAGCCATGAAGCTGAATGAGAGAAGCGTAGCCCACTATGCACTGAGCGACTCCCCAGCAGACCACACGGGCTTTCTACGCACTTGGGGTGGGGCAGGGACTCCCCCGACTCCCAGTGGCACTGGCCGAAGGTGCTGGTTTGTTCTCAAAGGCAACCTGCTGTTCTCCTTTGAGAGCCGAGAGAGCAGGGCCCCGCTGAGCCTGGTGGTGCTGGAGGGCTGCACGGTGGAGCTGGCCGAGGCTCCAGTGGCTGAGGAGTTTGCCTTCGCCATCCGCTTCGATGCCCCCGGCGTGCGTCCACACCTGCTTGCGGCAGATGGCCCGGCGGCCCAGGAGGCCTGGGTGAAGGCGCTGTCCAGGGCGAGCTTCGGCTACATGCGCCTGGTGGTGCGCGAGCTGCAGAGCCAGCTGCGCGATGCCCGCCACAGCCTGGCCTTGCATCGCCACTCATCCTGGACGGCCGTGAGCAGCCGCCCGAAGCCCCAGGCTCCCGACCGCCGGCCTCCGGGCCTGGAAAACGGCCACGCCCTCTCCAAGGACTGCAGCCCTGTGGACTGGGGTGAGGAAAGGGGCGGCAGGCCCGCAGGGCGGGGCTTGGCCGAGATGCAGGGCGCTGCCAGCCTCTTCCTGGGCAGGGGCCAGAGCCCCCTGTGCCCCGAGACCTCCTACTTCTCCGCGCTGCACAGCTGGTACGGCCAGGAGATCTCGGAGCTGCGGCAGAGGTGGATGCAGAGGGCCCGCGCGGGGGCAGGCGGGACATGAGAGGCAGGGTGGGCACTGAGCCTTGGCTCTTCGGGTTCTGCCATCATCCTGCTGGTCAGGACACCAGGGCCAGTGCTCCTTCAGAAATTTGACGTTTTTTTCTTTCAAAGTTGCTTCTTCTTTTTTTTTTTTTTGGAGAAGGTTCTCTTCTTCCTGCTTCTTAGGCCTCCAGGCTCCAGGTCCACCCTCGTGGCTGGAGGGGGGCCAAGGAATCTTTTCTTCCAACCCCTTTACTTCCCGAGGCCCAGAGAGGAGACGAGGCTTGCTCGGCAACCGCAGGGCCGGACCCAAGTCTCCCGACGGTGCTGGACTGCCCCGCTCTCGGGGAATATTAATGAAGTGGAGGAAGTGCGGAATATTATTACATGGCCACAGGCCGCCCTGCCTCATTACCTGACACAACAGACTCTACAGCCACAACTTCTAACACTGGGAGTCGCGTGGACATTTAAATACCGGAAGTTGGCTGAAATGTTGACTCGAGGGACTGACACTGTCAGAGAAAGTGGATGGATTGTCACGGGGGGTTCTGGGGCCCAGCTCTTCGAGCGGTGGGAAGATTGGGCATAGGAACCCCACTCTGCAGCTTGGGTGGGGCCCTTTGGAGGGACAGGGCTTTCGGCCAACGAAGAGGGGTTGATTCTGCTCGGGAAGTGCTGGGGTCCCGTCATCTCTCCCTGGCTGCCCTGTCTATAGAAGGTGCTGGGGGCTTTTATTGGTCAGCAGGAACGCTTCCTGTTTTCTGTCTTTAGCAGCCAGCTCCTGGAGCTGCCAAGTGGGAAGCTAAAGAACGGGGGAGGCAATGTGGCTCCCTGGGGAAGCCAGGTTGTTATTTTGGTTCTCATTCTGGGGCATTCTGGGAGTCTGGACACAGGATTCCCAGCGCCCTGTGATAAACTCTTCTCTCCTAGCTGCTCCCAATCCTGTTCCCGATCCCAAACCCCTCCTAGGAACTCATTCGCCATCCCGTGTGCCAGCCAGCGCCTATCTGCCGAGACCCCTCGCTTGCTCCTCTCAGCAGCCTGGTGCCAAGTGTTTTATCGATTGTTTTGGGAGCAACGTGGGTGCCTCTAGAAGAGCCAGCAGCCAGACTGGCCCGAGCCCCAGAGGCGTGGCAGCAGCGGCTGGATGGAAGATGCAGAGCCTGGTCAAGCCGTGCTCCCTCTGCATACACACAATCTGCCCCTTCTTAGACCTTGGGTAAGCTGACCAGGGCCCAAGTAGGTCCAGAGGCTGCGACGGAGACCCTCCTAGGTCCAGCACGCCCAGAGGCCACCCAGAGTCCAGAACCGGTTCCTGCCAGGCTTGTTTCCCAGGTAGAGGGGCTGCCTTGAGGACCCCGAGCAGGACCCCCACAGCCCACTGCGCCTTGTTTTCTACACAGACACTATGTATGGGCTTTTGTTATCTTTCTTATGGTTACACAGTGTTTTTTTTCTATGATTAAAACATTACGTTTTTATTACTCATTTTGGTTCCTCAGAGTTTAACAACCACTTGACCGGTTAGTTTGTGCAAAAGCCCCCCATTTCTTCCCTTCAGTTATAGTTTCCATTTGCCTATACAGAACGTATACCTCGGCAAGAAATAAAATTCCCAAATCATCCAAGTGGTACAGCTAATAAATTTGAATTATATATATATATTTAAAAACATTTTTCAAGGTGTATTTATTTTTGAGACAGAGACAGAGCATGAGTGGGGGAGGGGCAGAGAGAGGAGACACAGAATCGGAAACAGGCTCCAGGCTCTGAGCTGTCAGCACAGAGCCCGACGCGGGGCTCGAAACCCCGAACAGTGAGATCTGACCTGAGCCGAAGTCGGACGCTTAACCGACTGAGCTACCCAGGTGTCCCTTGAATTATATTTTTTAAATGCTAAAAAGAGAAATACAATTGTCTGAAGCTCGATTAAAACGATTTCTCTTTTCAACCCGTTCGGCTAAACCCTGGCTGTCCTGGGTGAGGGAACAATACGCGGGGTCCACGAAGGACCGCCTGTCAGACGACCGCGCCCGCCGTGCCCTGAACGAGGCTGCGGTAGGAGCATCCGCGTCCTCGTGACGTCACCACGTCCGACCCGCAACAATCGCCTCTTCACCACGTAAGGAGCTAGGTGCACTGCGCAAGTCTGAGAGCGGGGCCTCGCGTCTGATCCCAAAAGTCTCGCGAGGCTTGGGGAGCTACTCTTCCTGAGGGCGTCACAGGGGCCGGCGGTTGGGTCCGGGTGCCGGGCTAGGGGCGGAGTTGGGAGATGGCGTCCGGAGCGGCTCGCTGGATGGCACTGGCATCCATCCAATCCGGGGCTTTCCGGAGCGGAGCGAGCCTGAGGAAACGTGGTGATGTCTCCGCCGGAGGGGGTGGCTCAGGTCGGAGCCTGGTACCGTCGAGGTCAGTCATCGTTACTCGCAGCGGCGCCATTTTGCCCAAACCGGTGAAAGTGAGTGTCTGCCTGGAGGCGGGGCGAAGGGGCCGAGGCCAATCAATATGGGGAGTGTGCGCGGGTCGACGCTGACTGATAGGCGCAAAGGCCAATCATACGACCGCTTTAGACCGGAAGCCGGATCAAGGACAAAGTTTAGCAATGATGCGCTGCTGATTTTGACAGGTGGGAGGAAATGGTCGGGTCAGATCCCGGGTGTTGATTGAGTTGGGCGCACGGAGACCGAGGAGGGTGGGGAGCGGGGCGAGAGCTGAGGACTGCACTTCGCACTAGCCTATCGTGAGGTGCGCTAGTTTTCCAGGGCCACGAGACTCGGCTTTATGCACCCACTATAGACAGATCACGTAACCACTCTGTTCTTGTCTACCTCAGAGTTGATGGGATGAAATAAGGAGTTGTGAAAGGACTTTGTAAATAACGGGTGCGTGAGACCTTTTCTTCCTATGAGTTTTGACCTAGTATTTAATTCACGGGATTTCCAATTCTGAGGTGCGTAGGGAATTATTACAATCACTGTTCTTACAAATGAAGAATCCGGCCAAAGCAGTGAAGCCAGTGAGCCTCCAAAGCTAGCAGCTAGTCAGGTCCTTCCTGGAATCCAGGTTTCCTGTCGGCACGAAACCCTCTCCCCCTCCTTCCTATTTTTTCCACCACTGAGTACTCTCACATGCCCTGAGTACCCTTGGGTTTTTCTTTTCTTGTTTAAATTTACATCCAAGTTGGTTAGCATACATTGCAACAGTGATTTCAGGAGTAGAAAGAATCCTTAATGCCCCTCACCCATTTAGCCCATCCCGCCCCCCCACAACCGCTCCAGTAACCCTGTTGTCCTTATTTAAGAGTCTCGTGTCTCGTCCCCCTCCGTTTTTATATTATTTTTGCTTCCCTTCCCTTATGTTCATCTGTTCTGTCTTAAAGTCCTCATATGAGTGAAATCCTGTGATATTTGTCTTTCTCTAATTTCACTTAGCATAATAGCCTCCAGTTCCATCCACATAGTTGCAGATTGCCCTTGAGTTTTTCTAAGTAAAATGGAAACAGCCCCCTTAAACCAAACAAGTTTGCTTTTTGACTCCAGTGCTGGGTGGGATCTGATTCTCGTAAACCCAGTCTGGCCAGTGTCGCTCACACTAACAGGTGAGCTCAGGACTGCTTCCTGGCAAGCAGAGGGTCTGTGCTGGGGAAGAGCTGCCTTAGAAGAAGGCACAGCTGAGAGAAAAACATTTTTTTGTAAACTCCATAGGAAAATATGAGAGCATATGTTGAGATTCTACTGAAACTCCCTTAGTCCATCTAAACAGTTAGTCTTTTAGTGTAAAGACATGCTCGCTTTTCAAAACATGCTTGTTTTAAAATTTTAACGTGAAATTAAACTTCTCAGGCCCTGGGGGATCTGTTAATGGACTGTATTCTTTCACTGTACATGCTCATTGTTTTGTAATCCATTTTCATGTATTTGGGGTCTTCAGGTAGAGGTGAGCGGTTTCTGCAGTCCAGCACGTAGTACTTTCTTACCTGTTTGTAAGTATCTGCAAGTAGTTACCAGGCTGTGCGCTAAATTTTAGATGCCTAGAATGCCTTCTTCCCGGTTTCCACTTTGATGACCATAAAATAACCTTATCAATTCTTTGAATTTTTTTTTTTTGCTCTGAATTTTTCCAAGGACTTTAAAAATCAAGTAGTTGCTGATCACAGGTCTGGGGTCCACAGGAGTGCCCCCAAGGGCCGGGCCTTCTGTGGTCCCAAGTGGGCTCTGGAGCTCACCGCCACACTCTGACCGTCTGCAGATGTCCTTCGGCCTTCTCCGTGTGTTCTCCATCGTGATCCCCTTTCTCTATGTCGGGACGCTCATCAGCAAGAACTTTGCAGCTCTACTTGAGGAGCATGACATTTTTGTCCCAGAGGATGACGATGATGATGACTAACAGGTAAGACTTCTTTTCCTCTACGTGGACCAGGAACAGGAAGTGGGGTGGCCATCTGAACTGTGACGCACTGTGGCCCTGTAGTAGTTTTCCTTCGCGAAGCGGAAGGGCAGACCCTTAATAAACTGACTCACTTGGCTAATGTTTTGTCTTGCCTTTTCTCTATGTTGGATGAAGAAAACTATCTTATTGACTTAGAAATTCATTGGGATCTCTTCCAAATAGGTTGATCCCAACCAGCCTTTTTATTTGCCCTTTATGGACCCTCGTTCTCTCAACCCATAAGTTTTCTTAACAATTTAATATGCCTTACACACCCACCCCAAACAGATTCATTCTCCACAATGAAATTTAGAAACTGCAGGTTCTCACCATGGTCAGCAAGATTACCAAACTCTGTACCAGTATAGGCTGCATACAGGCATCGCAGCCTGGTCCATACACTGCTCACAGACCTTTCCCCCCATTCCTGTCTCTTCCAGCTTTCTGGTGTTGGCTTCTGGTGCTCTAACATGTGCTGCCTTTCTGTTGCAGATAAGGACAGCTCTGGCCCCGTAGTCTGGCATTCAAGGCTTGCCCTGATCTGGTCACACAATCTGGTCACATCTGTTATTCCAGCTGCATCTTCCATATTCCCAACCACAGACCTATCCCGTATCCTCAAGTATTCACTGTTTCTTGAATTACCAAGAGGCTTACCCACTCCCAAGCAGAGGCTGACTCTTCCTCCCAATTGGAAGGCTGTTTCTCGCTACTCTTAGTTTCACCAATTCTTCATTATCTTTGATGAAGTCTTCCCTCATTCCTCCATTTGAAAGTGACTGTTGTATCCTCTGTACCTCTCTTGTGACACTATTATATAGTGAAGCACACAGGTACACCTCCAAATTCTACTGGACAACGAGCTTCCTCCTGGCAGGGAACATGGGGTTTGGTTTTGTTTTAAAATAAGTTCTACACTCAGTGTGGGGTTTGAACTTACAACCCCAAGATCAAGAAAAAGTCTTATGCTTTACTAACTGAGCCAGCCAGGTGCCCCAAGGAATGTGTTTTTTATACCTTTCGGCCCCCAGTGTGTGTTTTCCAGTGAATATTCAGTACATGTAGGAAGGAGTAAACAACCTGCCTTCTCCTGCCTTGTTTGTTAGAACTCCCTGGAATTCTCTTCTTGGTGTGTGGCTGCTCTGTGCCCAGTTCACTGCTACTTTCCTTTCTTACAGGACATGGAGGAAGTAGAGAAAGGAGACAGCTTTAACTTAATTAAGATATGGTGATGCTCACAGCCTCTCCTACTTCCCTATCAGCAGAAGGGCCCAGGGAAAGCCCTCAGCGTCCTGACTCCCGTGAAGCCTCCTGCACCGTCTGTGACCATACTCGAGACCCCCAGGCTCTGGGAGGCTCCTAAACAATGTGCTGTCCACCAGGCACAGTCAGCTTATGAATAAACATAATAAACATCAGCTCTGTATGACTGAGTGGTGGCTTAATTGTCTCAACATGAGTAAGACCCTAGTTGTCGTTTCTTGTCCCTGCTGTCCTTTCTCTATCAGCTGAACATAACAGGTCTGATTTATAATCCAAGATTTCCAGGCCTCTCTGCATCTACAAAAGTAATTACTGGTGCCTGGGACCTATTTTCATTATTTACAAAAGCCCAGCAGAAACTTTCCCCTCGGTAAAGATGCACAGGTTAACTAGAGTCTCCAGCTTTTTCGGAGCTGAGGAACACTGGCTAGGCACCACCTGGTAATCATAAGCTTTGTTTAATTTTTAAAATTTTTTTTAGCATTTATTCAGTTTTGAGAGACAGAGAATGAGTGGGGAAGGGACAGAGAGAGAGAGGGAGACACAGAATCTGAAACAGGCTGAGCCATCAGCACAGAGCCTGATGTGGGGCTCGAACCCACAAACTGTGGGATCATGACTTGACCTGAAGTTGGATGCTTAACCGACTGAGCCACCCAGGCGCCCCAAATATGCTTTGTTTAAAACTCCTTAAGAAATAATCGTTATTAGGGGCACCTGGGTGGCTCAGTTGGGTAAGCGTCCAACTTCGGCCCAGGTCATGACCTCACAGTCCATGGGTTCGAGCCCTGCGTTGGGCTCTGTGCTGACAGCTTAAAGCCTGGAACCTGCTTCAGATTGTGTCTCCCTCTTTCTCTGTCTCCCCCCACCCCACTTGCACTTGCTCTCTGTCTGTCTCTCTCAAAAAAAAAAAAAAATTT